TAATTTAACAAAATTATTTTCAGATCTGTATTCACCTAAATTTGTAGATACTTGAGCGAAATCATCCTTTACGCGCGTGCGCGATTTTATTAGATTTTAACAAACATTTTGATTAAAAGCCGTGTTTCGCTGTTTCGCTCTAATTTCTCAGACCGTTGCGAGTCGTTGATAAATCGAGCTCTTCGGTGTTACAAAACAGCTCGAAGCGGCAGCGCTCCGCGCTGTTACCTGTCCGGTTATCTATGAGCGAGCATAGCGCGCCCGCGGTTCGGATAAACCAATCAATAATTGATTCGTGCATGGATGCACGACACGTAATGGAGTTAAGCGAAATGCAATGGCGTTTTAATCGAACGCATGCCACTCTCGATGCGGTTGGCGCGATCGGCCAATTAACCGCCCGATTTCCGCATTTCAGCGCCGGAGATCAATCGCATGCGGATCGTGACTCTCGTGGATCTGCGAGATCCAAACGTATCGAACATTATTGCACAGCAAACGCTTGCAGATCTCGATCGACCCACTGACAAATATACACAAAAAGAACGATTTTGCTAGGATACCTAAATATTTAACTAGGTCTGAAAATAATTTTTTTGAACCACCAAATTACTTAAGATGCTAGCTTTTCGGCATTGTTCATTATGTTCGAGCATTCTGTGCTCAAAAAAATTTCTAGTTAAAAATGGACAAATCAGAATTGATAGCTAATCTGACCATTTCAATTAAAATTCTTAATTTAACTAGAATTATAATAGATTTAATCAGAAAATTCTGATTTGTCCATTTTCAACCAGAATTTCAATACAACTACTTTTTCACACTTTTTCTAATTATTGTGCTATAATTATTATTTTGATAGCCTATTATTTTGCCAGTTATTTTGATAGTTCGGTAAAATTATTTTTAGATGTATATTTACACTGTTAGATATTAAAGGAGCAATGATAACCCAATTCCTTGAGCTAAACATTTTATTATTCCTAATTTCCATATGTATCAAAATATAAATCAATCTCTTTCTGAGATTAATTTCAAAATAAACAACGTCTATACTGAAGAAAATTATCTAAATATGATTACAATTTCCAGTAAATTTTCAATCATATTTAAATAGTTTTCCGATCATAAACATTATTTCCATGAAATATTTACATGAATTTTTTTATATGATAACGTAGGTATGCACTTAATAAATAAATAACAAACTAAATTTGAATAATAAATGAAATTTAATAAATTTTTTTAAGTTAAACTGTTTAAACTCCGCTTTTTTTTAGTTAAGTTAAAAATAATTCAATAGAATTATTCAATAGAAGCAATGGCGATTAATAGAAAATAATTAAAAATAACTAATAATTAAAAATGACTCAAATTGGTTATAATTTGGCATTATAAATTTACGGTATAGTTAAATATTTATATATGTATATATATA